ACTGAAGGGGCTTTGTTACAATACATAGATGATCTCTTAATAGCTACCGAGACTAAAGGGAGCTGTATTCAATGGACTATAAGTCTTCTTAATTTTCTGGGTTTAAATGGATATCAAGTCTCTTGACAGAAAGTCCAGCTGGCTCAACAAAGTGTGACCTATCTGGGATTTGAAATTTCGGGAGGACAACGAGAACTAGGAACTGAACATAAGGAAGTCATTTGCCGGACTTCAGAACCTCAAACGGTAAAGGAGCTACAAACCTTTTTAGGAATGACAGGTTGGTGTCGCCTTTGGATTTATTATTATGGACTATTGGTAAAGCCTCTATGTGATTTGATAAAGATTAACCAGTCAAAGTTAGTCTGGACTGGAGAAGCACAAACAGTCTTTAAACAACTTAAACAAGAATTGATGATTTTAAAATATCAAGCAATATTAGTAGAACAAGATGATGTGGGAATTGTGGTCACTAACATTGTAAATCCAGCTTCTTTCCTTAGTAGAACTCTGGATGAACGTATAACCCATGATTGTATAGAAACAATGGAGACTGTGTATTCTAATCAACCCGATTTTAAGGAAGAATCTTTAGAAGATGCTGACGAATCTTGGTATACTGATGGAAGCAGCTTTGTGAAACAAGGACAACGTAAGGCAGGGTACGCCATTACAACCACTCAACAGGTAATCAAGTCCAAACCATTACCCCCTGGGATGTCCACCCAGAAAGCAGAGATAATTGCTCTTACGTGAGCACTGGAACTAGCAGCAGGAAGGAAAATAAATATTTGGACAGATTCTAAATATACATTCAGCATGGTACATGCTCATGGAGCTATTTGGAAAGAACATGGATTGCTGACCGCTCAGTGAAAACACATAAAGTATGCTGAAGAAATTTTAAAATTGTTAGAGTCTGTAAAACAACCAGAAGAGGTAGCTATCATGCATTGTCAGGGACACCAAAAGGGGAACACTGATTTTGAAATTGGAAATCGATTGCCAGAGGCTAAGTGGGCAGCTGAAATAACTGAGGTGAAGGCATTGTCTTTGATACCAGACGGTAAAATCCAAACTATATCCAAATTATACAAAAGAAGACTTAAAATTAATTGAAGATTTGAAAGGTAAAATGAAACCAGAGGGATGAGTATATTTAAAAGATAACCGCATAATAATACCCTCTAATTTGACATGGCCCATAGTTCTTACAGAACACAATAAAACACATTGGGGAGCTGGCACACTGCATAAAAGCCTGAGTCAGACATTAGTGGGACGATACGATAAAACAAGTAACTCAACAATGTAGCATTTGCTTACACAATAACCCCAATACCAAGAAGAGAATAAAATTTGGAATAATCAGTAAAGGAAATTATTCATGGCAACAGTGGCAAATTGATTTTTCAGAACTCCCTAGAAAAGGGGGGTATCGTTATTTACTGGTTCTGACTGACACATTTTCAGAAAGGCCTGAAGCCTTTCCCGGTCGAACAAACAAAGCAAGAGAAGTGGTTAAAGTCTTGTTAAATGAAATAATACCATGCTTTGGGATTCTAGTAGCAATGTCTTCTGATAGAGTTTCACATTTTTGTGCGCAAGTGGTACAACAGATAAGTAAGATTCTAAAGATAGATTGGCAACTGCATACTCCTTATAGACCACAGGCAAGTGGACAGGTAGAAAAAATGAAACATTTAATTAAACAACAAATAGCTGAAATCGGACAAGAATCTAATTTGTCATGACCTCAATCCCTCCCTTTAGCATTACTTAGAATTTGAGTTAAACCTAGAATAAAAGGGAATTTGAGTCCCTTTGAAATCTTATATGGAAGGCCGTATCCATTTCTATTTAGTGGAGAGGACCGAACGCAGTTAGAATTAGAATATTTATATGCATATATAACTGAACTTCAGAAATAATTAAATAAAGTACATAAATTTGTTCTCAGGACCAGGGCTAGACGGTTGGATCAGCTAATCCACCCCTTTAAGCTCGGGGATTATATATATATAAAGACTTTTTCAGGACAACCCCTAGAGGAAAAATGGAAGGAAAGTGGACGGGACCATACCAGGTATTACTGACAACACTCACCGCCATTAAGATTAAGGAGCAAGCAGCTTGTATCCACGATTCAATGGTGAAGAAGGCCCTGGCGAGGACATGGACCACCACTCCAATTGGACCAACAAAATTATGGTTTTCCAGATCCTAATGATTGCAGGGGTGTGGTTCTCAGATTCGGGGTGGGCAGTGTGAGGAATGTTTTAACAATTCGTGTCCATAAAGAACAATTCTGTTTGAATCCTCTCTGCCTCTGTGTCCTGCACTGGCAATTTAATTCTTGAACCACAGATGCAGTGTGTCCCAGTCTCCCCCTCATTCTAGTCAATTTATCACGTCTTCAGAAAACACTCCTTAAATTTATGAACCTGTTTGGTTTTGTTATTCCGGACTTCTATTTCTAACAGTTACAGCCTTTTTTCCTGTCTTCTTGGAGATTAACTTAACACTGCTATAGATGTGTCTGTGAATGGCTGGGGAAGAATGTTTTAATTACTCGTGAAGCGTCAAATAAGAAAGCTGTTTGTGTTTGATGTCTGGGAGTTTCAGAACAACTGATAACAACTAGTGACTGTTATGAGATACTATGCGGATCTTTGGTATCTGGCCAAGGGGCCAAGAGATTAAGAGGAAGGAAAAAGAAGCTGAAGGACGGTTGGGAGACAAGACCTGCAGAAAGTGTTCTATAAACTTGGAATAGTGCCGAGTGAGTACAAAGGTGAGAGGAAGACTACGAGCCTTCAGCATGAAAGACCCCTAGAGACCCCCAGAGGAGACTGATGCGCATGCTCCAGTAGGAGGGACTGGACCCCGGAAGCTAATTATAATAACCTGGTTTTTTTTAGAAGTAGTAATGAATATGTATTAGTCTAGGAGCATAAAAATCAGCTGCTTGATGTAACTGGTGTGTGTCCTGGTGGAGCAGAGACTCCCGGTGCACCCAGCGCTGTTTGCTTACCTCTATTCCTTTATATTCTTTTAATAAATACTATTTTTTTATTTAATCCTAATTTGAATCCTGAGCCATTTATAACAGCAGTTTGGGATGAGAACTTACACCTGTCCCTGATACAAACAATTTCTCAAGTAATTAATAAGACAAACTGTTGGGTATGCACCCATCTGCCAGAGCATGGGAATAAGGGTGTATTGTTAATCGGGATTCCCTTGCCTGCAAACTTATCTTGGACTAATTTGTGGGAAAACACATCTTGGGGTCGAAAATATGAAGAAGTTCTTTTGGAACAAGAAGTTAGTAGCTTCGTGCCATTGGAATCTTACTATGTATGTGTACAAAGGTGTAACCCGACTAAGGGTATGGGAAAACAGGATTGTATAAATACAGATACTACTTATGTGGGAAATCAGACATCTTGTAATCAAACAATTGATATTAGTACAACTAGCAGTTGGGCAAATTCAACCAGCTGGCCAGTTCCAGAAGGAAAAGGGTGGTATTGGCTATGCAATGATACAGCCCGTAAGGTCTTGCCCAAGAATTGGAAGGGAACTTGCACTCTTGGAGCAGTAGTCCCCAGTATGACAGTGCATGATGTAGTGCCTCGAGGTTACTTGAGAAATCATATATGGAGAATCAGACGAAAAATTAACAATCCATTGATAGAGAGACACACCGCTTTTCATAGTTTTGTTCGATGGTTTATCCCATGGTTAGGAGTGAGTGAATTGGAAAAGGCGATAGTTAATATTTCTGCAATTATAGAGAAGTTAGAAAACAAAACTCTGGATGCTATAAAGGCTCAACAAGAAGAGATATCTAGTTTATCACAGGTAGTATTACAAAATCGGATGGCCCTAGACTTGTTACTGGCTGCTCAAGGGGGAGTCTGTACAGTAATAAATACAAGTTGTTGTATGTATGTAGATCAGAGTGGAAGGATCTCTACCGACCTGGAAGAAATATGGAAGCAGATAAGGGTCCTACATGAGATCAGTAAAGATGATCTTTCATGGAGTTTTAGTGAAATATGGAATAAGTTAACCTCCTGGTTGCCCAATTTCCAATGGTTGAAACAAGTGTTCATTGCTCTAATCACATTAGTAGTGTTAGGAATATTTGTGTGCATGTTGTTTAGATGCCTGCTTTGTTGTGTTACTGTAAATAATGAAAGTATCTGATGCAAAAGAATTTGCATGGGAAAAGAAAAGGGGGGATTGATTAAGGAGGTATTGGGGAGGCATTGGGGAGGCAAGGACAATCCCCAGACATGGACTGTATATCTCGAAACAAGACACTGGAACTCATGATAAGGAAGCGGCAGACGGACAGAGAAACAAATGTAAGGACTATAAATCTCAAAACTGGACATTGGAATTCATTATAAAGATACAACAAACGGAAGAATTGGCAACAACCAGCTCTGGCAATTAAGAAACGTGCCAATTCAGCAGATTCCTGACCAAAGGTGAAAAGTACACTGTGAGGAAGACTCGGGGTCTTCCTCCCAAAGACCCCTGCCCACAATTCTTGGGAGGCTCTATGCAGGCGCAAGGTGCCAAAAGGCTAATTAGCATGAGAAGCGAGGGAAGGCGGGGATAGGTAATGCATATGTATAGGCGCTTGTAGAATATTGATAGATTGATTGTATAAATTCAAGACTGCTTTCCGCTTTGGGTATGCACGATAGGTGGAGAGATCCCCCGTGCATCCAGCGCTGCAATAAAGAATATACCACTTAAAGGAATTTCGGCTTCGATCTTTGAATCACATGTGTGTGCAAAGGTGCATGCACGTGTCTATGTGCATGAATGTGCATGTTCAACCTCGTTCGCAGACGCCGCTGTGCATACTCCTGTCCGCACGCCGCAATAGCGGCGGGGCTGGCGGGAGGTGGAGTGTCCAGAGAGGAAGGGGGCGTGGTCATCCCCGAGGGGGCGTGGCCGAGGTAAGGGCACCGGCGGGAGCCGCCCCCGGTGGCGGCGGGAGGTAGTGGCAGCGCGCGGGGCTGCGGCACCTCCGGGCGGCTCCGCGCCGGCACCGGCACCCTCGGAACCCCCGGACCTGGGCACCCCCGGGACCCCCGGTCCCAGCAGTGCCGCCCGCGGGGTCCCGGCGGTTCGCGGGGCGGAGCGGAGCGGAGGCAGGTAACGCCGGGGCCCCGGGACGGGAGGGAGGCTCCGGCGAGACCTGTTGCTGCTGCCCGGTGCTCTCCGGGGCTCTCCTTCGGCTGTGGGATCCGCACCGGGGGCTGGGGGCACCTCCCTTTCCCCCGGAGTTCCGGGTGGGCTCGCTCCGTTTTGGGGCGCGGGGCCCGGGAGGGAGAAGCGCACAGAGGGCGGCCGGGGGCCGGCAGCAGGGTCGAGGCTGCCCGGGAGGGAGGCTGGGGACGGAATTTGGGGCCAGGAGGGCCCCCGGGACACCTCCGACTCCGTCACCCCGACCCTGCCCCGGGATGGAGGGAAGCAGCCAGGGAGTGCCCGTGGGGGCTACAAGGGGCTCCCCAAATGGCAACCTCCATTCTCCTTGAGACACGATAGGGCTGGGGCTTTGCAGGAGGCAGCTGCCACCTCCCCCAGGGGGCTCGGGCACCCCTGGTGCTGGCGGTGACAGTGACTTTCTCCCTTTCAGATCCACGAGGGAGAAGACACGGCCTCGCAGCACTGTCAGAGAGGAAGCCTTGGGAAAGCTCCGAGCCTCCCCCAGTGAAGCCGAGGTCACAGCTCCTGGAGGCCCAGCCGTGTCAGGGGTGACGCCATCCTGCTGCCTGCCTGACCCCCGGGCTGTCCCGCTGGCAGCACCACAGCGGTCCCCTCTGTCCTCCGCCAATGCCCCTGGGCAGAGGCTGCATCGGTGTCCCAAGTGCGGGGTCAAGCCGGGGGTCCCACTTCTCCCCACAGAGCAGCGGCGATGGGGGTGGCTCTCTCCACTGGAGCAGTTGTTGCAATTTCTTTCAACTGCATCATCGCGTTGCTCATCCTCATCCTCTTCCTCATCCTCTGCAAGGCCTTCAGGACCCCGTCGTGCCCCAAGAAGGGCCCCTCCTCTGATGCAGATGAGGCAAAGAATAAGAAGTACCTGCTGCAGCCCTGAGCCGTGCAGGCAGGCGGTGCTGGGGGGCTCAGGGACGTGGGCACCTGGCTGTGCTGAAGGAGTTGTGCTTACCTGGACATAGTGTCCATGCCGAGATGGAGGTGCTGGACAAGCAGGGTGGGAGCAGAGGGGATGCTGAGCTGTTTGCAGGGGCATGACATGGGGCAGAGCCCTTCACCTTTGTGGTCCTGGTGCATGCATGCCCTGCGGATGCCTGTGGTGACTGTGAGGACGGAGACACAGCAGCTGGGGATGTGCTGCTGGGACATGCTTGGCCCCTGCAGCCAGCAAGTGTGGCGGGAGCCGTGCCCTCGAGCATACCCCATATTCAGGGCTGGCCTGTGGGCTCCTCCGTGGTGCTGGTGGCCTGGGTTTGGGCCCTTCCACCTGAGGGGCTTCCCCTGGGGACAATGGCATGTGGAGATTCGGCCACCAGCTCCTCATTGCATCGCAGACCTGAATGGGGCTGGCTGGGGGCTCAGAGAGGGGAGGTGATGGGGCTGGTGCTATTGAGATGGCTGCCTGTGGTGGCACCATGCCCGGGGGCACCCCAGCAGCCCCAGCCCAGCAGCTGCAGTGGTGTTACTGGGGTGGGTGCTGGGGTGGCCCTGGGGTGCAGGAGGCAGCTAGCACCCACCTGCCCCAGCAGCTGGCTGGGTTTGGTGAGCCATGGGGGTGCAGAGGGCCACTTGGTCTGTCTGTCCCCGGTCTGTCTGTTAGTCCCCTCCAGCGTTAGCACTGACACTGCCAGAAGAACACCCTCCTTGCCCTCCTTGCTGGGCGCCTATCCCTGCCTGCCCTACATCTGCCCAGATGCCGGCCAAGGCCAGCCAGACCATAGGTAGGGGACATGTCCCCATCCCTGGTGCTGTCCTCTGTGAGAGCAGCCTGGAGTGGTGTTTTGCAGGGGGATCGGGGCTGTCCAAGTGCCCTTTACAGTGACAGGCACCTCCTGGTGTGCTGCCTCAGTTGGGGACCTGCATGTGCCAGTGGCACCTCCCTGTGTCCTACTGCTGCCTGCCTGAGCCCCCACGGAGTATTTCAGAGTTGGAATGACCGGCCAAACAGCACTGAAGGGTCTTCCAGCCCTGATGCTTGGGGACAGGGGATCAGCCTGGCCCCCCTTCTCCAGGGCCACGGTGGTTCTGTAGTGAGGGATGCTTGGTCTGGTTTGTCCCCAAGCCTGAGGGCTGCTTCCTCTATCCTGCCTGTGGGTTTTGGAGTGGCTCCTAGAGTGGAGCAATAGCCAGCAATAGCCCCGGGGCACCTGGTCCCTGCTGGCACAGCTGCTGCAATAAGGGGCTGGAGAGGTGGGCTGTGCCAGTGGGATGCAAGCCGGGGTCTTCGCGTAGGCCTAGCAAAGCTCCTGGTTCCTTCCCTTGTCAGGTGTAGCTAACATCCCTTTGCAGTCGTGTTTTTACTAGACTAATAAACCAGTTGTAGGACTCAGGAGGCATCTCTGAGCTCTGCCCTGTGCCCGCTGCAGCGTGGGAACAATCAGGGAGGTCACGGGGAGGCCTCGTGTCCTGCCCACAGCTATGTGTGGGTGTCCTGGGGCTGGTGGCCAATGTCCCTGCAAGGCTGTGGGTGCTTTGCTGGGCAGCTGTGACAAGGAGGGGCTCGTCCCGCACCCTTCTGTGGCTTTGAAATGCTGGGTGACAAACCTGGCTGGGCTGGAGCATGTGGCTGTCAGCAGCGAGCAGCCCCAGCCCTGGTGCTGGTGGCACTGAAGTTTCCAACCAGTGTCCTTAAGTTACAGGGTGCAGGACACTGGCAGGGGACGTGGGCCAGCCAAGCAGATGGAGGACACCCACCACTGCCCATGGACTGTGTGCCGCTGGTCCCCACTCCCGGTGGCTGTGTGCAAGGCTCCAGCGGTGACAGTCTTGTCACCGCTCATCAGCATGCACTGAGGCCACCGCAGCTTCTGCTGCCACCACAGCCACATAGCAGCTAATCCCTCTGCTGCAACATGCCAGAGCAGCAGGAGGGCTCTGCAAAGCCTGGCACCTGGCTGTGCCCGTGGCCATTGGCTGGGCAGAGGTGTCCGAGCCTCCGAGTGAGCTCCTTGGTGCGGGTGGCCAGCAGTCGCTGCGATGCCCTGGTCTGAGTGAGGGCACTCTGAGGCACAATCTGAGGCATGTCCCTCTGCCACTGCAGTGTGAGATCCCCAGACACCTCCTGGCCACCCCAAAATAATGGGACCCAAATGTGGCTGATGCCATGCTTGGCCACCACTCGTGGTGGAACCAGCCAAGCTCAGGGGCAGTGCCAGCATAGCTAGGGTGGCACGGGCTGGGCCATGGGGCTGCAACCTCGGGGTTTTACTGGGGCTGGAGGCACCAGCCCTCTCCTGCCTCTGCAGGGCTCTCAATAGGTGTGAGCACGGACACAGGTGGGGAAGACCTGAGGGCTGCATGGCTCCAGGGGCCTGAGCACAGCGAGGGGCTGCTGTCCTCAGGGATAATGGCACACTGCCAGCCTTTCAGTGGCTCTCTATTTGTCTGGGCACAGAGACAAAGTGCTCCCGCTCTGCAAAGAGCAGGTGGAGCAGGGCCCACAGCTCGCATGCCAGGCAGCTGCTGGTCAAAGCAGGGTTTGTTCACCTGCTTGCGGGGCCTGGCACAGCCGTCACTCCCATTGCTTACTTCCCAGTCATGCTATCTGGCGCTCTCACCAGGTTCAGAAGCTTGTCCAGCTTCGCGATTTCCACCTCTGGGCCCTTCTTCACCTCCTGGCCTTTCTTCTCCTGCGGGCAGAGCATGTGAGGCAGAGCTGTGAGCTAGGAGGGAAGCTGGGGGTGCTGTGTCCTGGCTCTTGGCCCTCATGGGGGGCTGATCCATGGGGCGATGCACCTGCATGTCCCTGTATTTTAAACCCAAAGTGACAGTAGCCCCCCTGGGCTGAGGGATGCAGTAAGGAGAGGTGTCCTACCATGTCATGCTCTGGGAGCAAGGCAGACACAGGAGCAGGGATCGGTACTTTTGTACCCAAACCCCTCTCCCCAGGAGGAAGGTGGGTGCTGAGAGACCCTACCCCAGAGGAGAAGTGAGCCAGGGCTCCCAGACAGGCTGTCAGCTCCCCACAGAGCCTCCCACAGGACAGCATGTCCCTGTGCTCAGAGGTGACAAATAAAAACATCCCTAAAACTCCTCCGAGCCATTTCAGCACTTGCAGCACGCAGCCGGGCGAGCTGTGGCACCACAAAGCTCTCCTTGCTGCACACCCTGTGCTGCTTTGGCACACGGGCACAGCGGGTGCTGCACGTAGGCATTGCACGATGCTGTGCCATCCCGACGCATGCCTCAGCACGGGTTACAGGGGACAAGCTGTTCCCGCAGTCTGCCAGCACCTGTCCTGGGGTGCTAGAGCAAACCACCACCAGCACCCGAGGAGAAAGCACTTAGCATGAGGGAAATAAGGCTGCCCGGCTCAGCCCACGCTTGCTTGGGAGCTGCAGGAGCTTCCAGGCCTGGGGGGGGGTGGGTGTGAAACAACGAAGTCCCTGCCACAGATGACAGTGCCACCCAAAGCTTTGGGATGAGCAAGCCTTTCTGCTGGGGACTTTGGAAAAAGTGATAACTGGTTTTGTGCTCTCCAGAGTCATATCATTAGACACACAAACACAACAGAGGGATTTTCTTATCTTCTGTCAGCCCACAGAGCCTCCAGCAGCTGAGCATTTACTTGGAGGGATGCTGCTCCCTCCCAGGCAGCATCTGCCCAGTCCCATGGCTGGGCACTGCCCTCTGCTGTCAGCCTTCCCCTTGGCTAGCCTTCGGGCTCTTGCCTTCCCCTTGGATTCGGGGTCCTTGCTCCAGGGATGTGAAGCTTGCCTGTGAGCACCCCAGAAATCAGGTGCCACACGTGGATAAGTGAGGGACTGGTAAAGGGGAGTCAGGCATCCTTACACACAAGCTGGAGAGGTGACACAGGTCCCCAAGCTTGTGGCACAGTAAGGGGAAATATCACCAGCTGGGTTTTGGGGGCAGAAAGCCCTGTTCCTGCTCCTGGCAGCCCCAAAACGTGGCTGCTGTGTGGGGATGCTCTGTGGAGGCCAAGGGAGCCGTGCACGGTGCCCAAGCAAGGCAGCTGCCTGCTTTCTGCTCTCCCCACTTAGAAAAGTGCAGTTCTCCTCTCGCTCAATCGGTTCCTCTGATGGCCACCAGTGCAGTGATTACAAACATGCTTCTTCCTTCAGGTCTGGGAAAAAAAATGCTGGGCACAACAAAGAGAAAATTGTGCATGGAGATGCACGGAGCTGCTCTGTCTTTCTCTAGCAAAAGTGGGCTGTGTTTTTAAAGGCAGCAAGAGTTTGCCCTTGCTGGAAGAGAGCTGGGACAGTCTGGATATGCACACAAGGACATGCAGCTTCTCAAGATCCCTCTCCAAGCAGATGATGGAGACAACAGGAGAGGTGCCTGAAGACTGGAGGATAGCCAGTGTCACCCCGGTCTTCAAGAAGGGCAAGAAGGAGGATCCGGGAAACTACAGGCCAGTCTCACCTCTGTCCCTGGAAAGGTGTTGGAACAGCTTGTTCTGGATGCCATCTCCAAGCAAGTGGAAGAGAAGAAGGTTATGAGGAGTAGTCCGCATGGATTCACCAAGGGGAAGTCGTGCTCAACCAACCTCGTTGCCTTCTATGATGGCATCACCAGCTGGGTAGATGAGGGGAGAGCAGTGGATGTCATCTACCTTGACTTTAGCAAGGCTTTCGATACTGTCTCCCATGACATCCTGATAGCAAAGCTGAGAAAGTGTGGGATAGAGGAGTGGACAGTGAGGTGGGTTGAGAACTGGCTGACTGGCCGAGCTCAGAGGGTGGTGATCAGCGGTGCAGAGTTTGTGGCAGCGTGGAGTCTGGCCGGAGACCTGTGACTAGCGGTGTTCCCCAGGGGTCGGTGCTGGGTCCGGTCTTGTTCAACATCTTCATTGACGACCTTGAAGAGGGAATAATGTCTGCCCTCAGTAAGTATGCCGATGACACAAAGCTGGGAGGAGTGGCTGACATGCCAGAAGGCTGTGCTGCCATTCAGCGAGACCTGGACCAGCTGGAGAGATAGGCAGTAAGAAACCAAATGAGGTTTAACAAGAGCAAGTGTAGAGTCCTGCACCTGGGAAGGAACAACCCGAAGTATCAGTACAGGCTGGGGGACGACCTGCTGGAGAGGAGCTCTGAGGAGAAGGACCTGGGGGTCCTGGTGGACAACAGGTTGACCATGAGCCAGCAGTGTGCCCTGGTGGCCAAGAGGGCCAATGGCATCCTGTCGTGCATTAAAAGGAGTGTGGTCAGCAGGTCAAGGGAGGTGATCCTCCCCCTCTACTCTGCCCTGGGTAGGCCTCACCTGGGGTACTGTGTCCAGTTCTGGGCTCCCTGGTACAGAAAAGACAGGGATCTCCTGGAAAGAGTCCAGCAGAGGGCCACAAAGATGATACGGGGCCTGGAGCATCTTCCTTATGAGGAAAGGCTGAGAGACCTGGGTCTGTTCAGCCTGGAGAAAAGAAGACTGAGAGGGGATCTCATCAATGTGTACAAATACCTGAGGTGTGGGAGACAGAGGGATTTGGCCAACCTCTTCTCAGTGGTTTGTGGGGACAGGACAAGGGGTAATGGCCACAAGAAGGAGCACAGGAAGTTCCGCACCAACATGCGAAAGAATGTCTTCACAGTGAGGTTGACTGGAGCACTGGAACAGGCTGCCCAGGGAGGTTGTGGAGTCTCCTTCTCTGGAGATATTTAAGGCCCGTCTAGATGCCTACCTAGGCAGCCTGTCAGCCAGTCCTGATGTTCTCATGCAAATGCTTCTCTGTCATTGACATTCACGCAGCCGCTTCTCTGCAGCTTGAGCGACAGCAGGATTTCCTTGTGTCTCTTCAGGGCTGGCTAATTGTGCAGTAGCCCAAGAGCACAGAGCTCAAGCTGTGCTGGAGGAATTCAGCACTGAGCACTGCTGGGCAGTTTGGCCCCCTGATATGGGGGCACACACAAATAAGCTCGAATCTCATAAAAAACTGACCTGCAGCTTGATGGCTTTGCTTCCTCTGAGGTCTGTAAATGCTTTTTGATTTCCTTTCAGTTATTCCTCTGTTATTTAGGATAGTTGCTGATAGTTGCTCTCTGTACTGCTAAGGGAACAGCTGAGCACTCCAAGGTGGATCCAGGGACTCGTGAAACCCTACTTCTGCCTTTTCACAGCTTTCCATGTCACCTGCATGGGCCATTTAAGGACAGATGGTTTAGGCAGTGAGGCACAGCATATCACTGATTGAGTAGGTACCAGTCTGCTTTGGGTCTGGAGCCCATAAAACCTTTATCTTCTTGTGGCTCAGTCTCCCAGGGTGCTACAGGGATGCCCCAGGCCTCTGGTACCCTTCAGGCTGTGAGGGACTTGGGTGCTGTGGCCATGAGCTATACATGCACTATCCCTGCATGCTGCTGCCACGGGAGAGGGTCAGGGCTCTCCATAAGGAAGCTGTGGCAGTCCCCATGGGTAATGCATGCTGGCCCTAGCATACGCTGAGGTCAGCAAGAGTCTTGCACACTGCTTGTGTGCAACTTTGCAGTGCATGAGCAACGTCGTTTGTGTCCTGTGGCCATTTTGCTACACAAACCTGTGACTCATAAATTGAAGTCCACAGAATCAAAAGCCTTTAGATATATATCTGTCTGGAGACCCTGCACATATCCACTTTGCACAGGAGAGTAGCTGTATGGCACAAATCCAGCTGTCTGGGAGTATTACATCACAGGTAAAAACAGTTCTAGATCCTGGACAGACATATAGGCAATCTTAGACACAAGCACTTCTTGGAGAGCTAGTCCAAACAAGCCAGCAGTAGACCTAAACAGCTCGAATCTTCTGTTGTTAAACCATTTTTCTTTATTTTCAGTTAAATAACTTTTGTCTTGCATCAAAGTATGTGAAAGCTCTATGTAACAGCAGGATTGCTGAACCCCAAGGTCAAAGAGATGGGGGTTTTCTTCTTTTTGCTGCTCATGGCCATGCATCTCCAACCTTATTTTTGTTGTGTAATGTCACTTTTCGTGATCTCTCTCTTTGGCAGTTGAGGGAGAAAGGAGAGACATCAGCGTAGTTATGGGTTATTTTAAGTTGAAGTCAATTCTCAGTGCTCAGGATGAAGCGTGTTTAGTATGTGAAATGGAAACACTGGCAATTGGAGCAAGAAAATGTCCCATTTTAAGAAAATTCAATAGTACTTCTGAATTATTTCTAAAGTGCAAGTCTCATCCTGTGAGATGCTGAAGTGCTGCCTGGGGGATACTGCACATTGGCTGGGACTGGCTTTGACTTACTAGTTTCTCCTTTGAAGATCTGTATAACAAAAAAGGTTGCCCATGTTTGAAAGTGGTGTAAGGCTGTTTCTTATTGCAATGCCAGGGGTTTGGAGAGAGGCTGGGGAAAGAGCTTGGGGGATTTTTTTTTGTAATCAATAACAAGTCACTGAGCTAAATGTTCCTCTCCTGAAATAAATCTGTTATTTTTCCTTTCAATTTGCTGTTTTCTGGATATAACTGAAATCTGAATCTGGCCAAGCAAAATGGTTTCAGTGGTGCCTTATTTTACCCTCTCCCTTGCATTTCTCCATGGTGGCACAGTTATGTTGCTAGAACTGCTTTGTGTGAAAGCTTTGCATCATCCTCTTCCTCATGGACAGATTATGTCTGTACTTCAGCACCCACCACCCCCTTGCAGTCTGGGCTTTGCTCCACAGCCCAAGGAGTACATCATTCCCTGCCCTGGGAAATGCCTGATGCATGGGAACGAGGAGCCCTGATTCAAATCTTCAAAGGACTTGCATTTTGGGGAGATCTGCGATTGCCTGAATGTGCCCATTCAGCTTCCACAGCTCCTCAGAGCCAGAGTCTCTGCTTTCTTCCACACCTTGCAGAAAGCTGTTTGGCACCGAGGAGTGGGTGCAGCATAGTGTTATGGCAGCCCCTCAGGCTGCTTGACTTGCTTTTCCTCCACATTTCTTTCTTTAGCTCTCCTCTGCAGATTCCTTTCCATGCACATGATTTAAATCCTCTCCAGAAATCTGGGGGATCCTTAGAAATCACCACTTCTTTATGTGAATGACAGCCCCAGAAAAAAAGGCAGAGCAAGCTCACACTAGCTGGAGCCCCGTGGGAATGCGCTGCTTTCAAAGCGTACCCTTGGCAGTGCCAGTGAGGGAGGCTTTATGGGATGCTCTGATTATCCCAGTCGTGGCTGGGTCCAAGAGCAGGCCAGCCAGCCTGCAGCCACTCCTGCAGAGGCTTTCGGTGCTCGGCCCCCTGCCGTAACTGATTACAGCTGCCTGCTGATGGGACCAGCGTGGACGCTTGTCCTGCAAGTCATCTGAGGGTGAGCTGCTCTTTCTCTAGAGATCCCTGACCGATTTCTGAGTGCTGGCTCTGCCGCAGAAGTTGGCCTTGAGAGAGAGCTGGGACAGTCTGGATATGCACATAGGGACATGCAGCTTCTCAAGTCCCCTCTCCAAGCAGATGATGGAGAGAGAGCCCATGCAGAAGCACCCCCGCCAAGGGGCAGGGAGGAAAACGGAGCCGTCTGCACCCCGTGACTCTCCCACTTGTTAAACCAAGGTATCAACGAGGCTTTTGGTGTTTTTCTCTAGAAGAGGAGAAAATTGAGGGGAAGGAAGTTCCTGAGGCATCCCTGGGGCTCTCTCACCCCAGCCCAGCACACCCCAGCAGAGATTTCCTTAGGCTGAGGGAGGGAAACTTGGGGTGCTGTTGTAGTTTAATCTGGCCAGCAGCTAAGCACCACACAGTCGGTTGCTCACCCTCCCCCCTCCCTCTCTGGG